TATCAAAATGCAACCAAAAGTGTCTTTTTTTGGTTTAATTAATAGCTATTAAAATTTAAAGCTTAAAATTTTAATTAACCAATAATTTGGTTTTAATTGTAATTAAAATTAAACCATACCCACCCCTAATTTTCACTGTAGCTGGCATGTATGATCACCAAATAAGATCCGGTACTTTAAAAACATATTTTTCATAACGTTCTAATCTAATACTTTTAAAACATATTTTTCACAACATCTTCATTGTTAATCTGTCTAATCTAACTACAATTAAGTTCAATGATTCACAAATCAAGCGGCATTTTGGTACCACCTAACAAAAGTATTAGTTGATAACAATTTTCTTTTCTTTAGAATCTTTTAACTCACTCCATGCCACATAATATATGATTTAAATTTAAAATTTTATTTATTAAAAAGAGAGTATCTTTAAAATACTTAAATAATTGAATAATTAAGGTTAAATAGCTTTTTTGGTCCCTCTACTATAAGAAAAAGCTCTTTTTTGATCCCTATACCGAAAAAATCCCTTTTTTAGTCCTTACTGTTCACAAATCCGACCCCTTTTTGGTCCCTTCGTTAATTTTTGCTCACGTGGCACGTTAACTTAACTAAAATAGCTGATGTGGATATGCCAACATGTAAAAGATGCTTACATGGACTCCACGTCATCCTCCACGTCACCATCCACGTGTACTCCACTTCCTCCGGCCTTTTTTTTTCTTTTTTTCTTTTTTTCCTTTTACCCCCCAGGCGAACCCAGGCTACCCAGGAGCCTGGGTTCTTCGTGAACCCGCAAGCTGGGTTCGTCGCAGGCTACCCATGAGCCTGGATTCGTCGCATGCTTCATATATTACTGTATACCATGAAATGCATCCTGAAATTTTAAAAAGAATTGGAACAAAAGACACATATCCAACTCAAAAGAAAATATCTTTCACCTCAACAACTCAATCTCTAACCATAGACATGAAGCATTGCCTAAAATCATCACTAAAATTAGCACCCAATTTGCATAATTCAGAATTACCTTCAATCCAAGCAAATACTTTCAATCCAAGCAAATACCATCAATTGATAAATTGACTAAATGAAATAGAAAGCTCACCTTGGTTCCGAGCTCAGAATCGAAGTCGTACTTATCGA